CATTTTATGGAGGACTGTTTACTGATCCTGGTAGATTAGACTACAATGCCGGGTGTTCTGACACACAGACTATAAGTAAGTTTTAGTTTTTATATTTTATATATTTAAAGGAAGTTTTTTGGGCAGTGTAGAGTAGGGCTTGTTGTTTGTCATTTCTCTGATCACAAATGCAGACGTGGTTTTATGTTTACGTGGCGCGATGCAACGCGTAAAAAGACAGTACAAGTCATTATAATCCATAATTATGTACCCACTGGATGCAACGAATGCCTCGTTTATAATGGTTTTTAATGTTTTTGAATCATCGCTCCGGCCTGACAGGGCATCATCACAATGTGGTAAGGGGCGTAACATTTCTGTCACATGCTTGAGGTATTCGGCCAATCACAATGCACTGGATAGCTGGCCAATCACAGCAGACCTCGCTTTTTCAGGCCGATGAGCTTTGTAAAAATCGCCACGTTTCAGAAAGGCGGGGCATAGAGGAGAAACAATGTACAGTATGTGGAAAATAATGTGTTTTTTGAACCTTAAACCGCATAAACACATTTCATTACACCAAATACACAAAATAATGTTCTTTTTAGCAACATCATATGACCCCTTTAAAGTTATATTGATGCAAAGCATTGCAATGTTCTGGTGAGTCTAAGTGTCTTCAATTTCTCTAATAGGTGCTGAGGGATGTCCTGAGAGAGCATGACTGGGACTATGAGAATGCTTTGGGTTCACTGCTTGTGTTTTCATCAACTGGTAATTACTGCATTTCAGCCACAGTTGAAGGTTTAGTCCACATAGAAATTTTAGTTTGAAAAACAGACTTTAAGCCATCCATGCCTTATCACTTTAAATTCAGATTCATGTTCACCAGAAGATCAGAGAAAACAAAAGTTAAAATCATCTCACTCCAGGGAAAAAAAGGACAAGAGCTCTCAAAAGCCTGACAGCTCATCTAGCCTGTCAAGATGGCTGACGGCTGTGCCGTCTCCCGTGCCAAAAGTCTCTAGTGTGTCTACTCCAAAAACACAAAAATCAGCAGTCAGCAAAAGCATGACCAAAAACACATCCTTTAAACGGAAGAGGGGGGATGAATCACCATTAAATGATGTCAGTGCCTCTGAGGATGAAGAGGAGATTGACAGTGATGTTGAGAGTATCTCTGATAATCTGGACTCGGAGGATGAGGACAGCATCTCGGGCAATCTCCAGGACAAGATCATTCAGTTTCTCCAAGAAGCTTCCCTAGATGAGCTTGCTCTAATATCTGGCTGCTCAATCAAAAAAGCCCAGAAGATCATTTCGCTGAGGCCTTTCAAAACTTGGAAAGATGTGGTAAGAATCGAATGTGTGGACTCTGCGCTGCCATGTTAATTATCACTGAATTATGTTGTTGTG